ACTATTGAATTGCAACAAATGCTCTATTATGTTTGATGAATCATGTCCGGTTAACTCTCAAGATGAAGTTCATGGGGTGTTGAATGTGATAAACACAAGCTTTGAAGAGAAGTATCTAGGTCTTCCAACACCGAATGGCAGGATGTCCAAAGTGAGATTCCAAAACTTGCAAGCACAACTTATGAAAAGGCTGATCCAATAGGGTGATGGCCATCTGGCTCAACCTGGTTGTGAAGTACTTCCTCCGTAAACTAATATAAGAGTGTTTAGATTACTAAAATAGTTATCTAAACGCTCTTATATTAATTTACAGAGGGAGTACTTATCAAATCAGTAGCAGAGGCACTTCCAGTGTGTTATGGGAGTTTTTAAACTCCCTTTTTCGGTATGTGATGATCTCATTGAGATGGTGAGGAATTTTTACTAGGGAGCTTCTAAGGGCAAACGGAAGGTACACTGAAAATCTTGACAGAAACTTCAACAACCAAAGAATAAGGGTGGAGTTAGATTTAGCGATTTCCGCATGTTTAATCAAGCCCTACTAGCTCGCCATGCTTGGAGATTATTGACGAGGCCAGATAGCTTATGTGCACGTCTTTTGAAAAGCAAATACTATCCTAATGACAAGCTGGAAGATACCGTCTTCTCCGGTAATGCGTCTTCCACTTGGACGGCAATCATCCATGGTCTTGGCCTACTCAAGAGGGGACTGATTTGGAGGGTTGGAAATGGGAAAGCATAGAATATGGCATGATAGTTGGATCCCCAGGCCTTTCTCTTATAAACCAGTCTCGACACAAGGGAGATGCATTTTTCGGTTTGTTTCACAACTGCTAAATGATAATGTGTCCTCGAATTTAAACTTGGTGTAGTCCTACTTTCTGTCTTGTGATGTGGTTGAAATTCTAAAAATCAGAGCCTCCCCAAGACTTGGTGATGACGTACTAGCATGGGCCCCTACTACAAATGGCAGTTTTTCCAGTAAAGTCGGCTTATGATCTAGCTTTTGAGGAATCATGTAGACCATCTGCTCAAGCATCAAGTGCAGCACCTGATGGACGGGGTACTTGCTGGTCGTTTATTTGGAAGATTCGTGTCCCTCCTACGGTAAAAAGTTTTGCATGGCGTGCCTCGATTAATTCACTTCCCACATGGCAGAACAAGCACAAGAGGAGCCCCGAGACTTCAGGAACATGCCCAGTCTGTGGGCGTGCGACTAAAGATGTTTTCCATGCACTTTGCCGATGCCCCCCTGTTGAGCAGTTGTGGAGAACTATGGTGACAAGCTGGCTCCTGCCGAATATTGAAGATGTTCGTAACACTGGTACTGAATGGCTGCTCGACACACTATACCCACTATCAGAGATCGAAAGGTGCATGCTACTGATGACACTATGGCAGGTATGGCATAGCCAGAATGAAACTGTCCATCACAAAGATCCTCCTCCTATGGAAGTCTCGAAAAGATACCTGACAAGCTATGTGGAGTCACTTAATTTTGATACTTCAGAGTTCACAATCTGACCAAGAGAAAGGGAAACAAATTATTTCCTATGAGCATCTGAATACCACCTCACACGTGATACTGAATGAAGAGCAAAAAACTGGGTGGGCTCTGCCAAGGGGGGCTAGACTAAATTGAACACAGATGGTTCATGGACTAATGGCGGCCGAGCAGGTGCCGGTATGATCCTTCCGCACAGCACTGGCAACATAATATTCTCATCTTGTCGAGAACTTTCTCATGCAGGAGTGCCCTGGAATCGGAGCTATGTGCTTGCATGGAAGGATTAAATATCGCCATTCGGAGAACTGATCTTCCCATACATGTGGAGATGAATTCTTTGGTTGCAGTGAATATGATCAATGAGGAAAGTACAGATAGATCAATTTTTGCCTCTTTGGTTTGCAAGATTAAGCATTTGAGGAGTCTTTGTACTACTACTTCTGTTACCCATGTTGTAGGCCAAACACTGTTAGTGATCACTTGGCTAAATTGGTAGGAGTGAAGGTAGAACTGTTGTTTGGTTAAACTCTGGCATGTCAAAGGTAATTGATCTTTGAAATTCAGACCGTAGTGTTGCTACTATTTGACTAATACAATTTTCAACCACAAAAAAAATTAGTAAGTATTAGGGTGTGTTTCATTCTGAGTCATCAGTGAACCGTTCTCGGGCTTGGTTGGGTGGAGGAACGACAACCCACTCATTCCAGAAAAACGCATATTCCCTCCATATGCGGAACACACCATACCTTTGATTTGGCGGAACCACGCGGAACTGGAGCTCCTATATGACGTGTTCAGTGCCAGGGAAAACGCGCCAGGAAAGCTTCCTAGCGCCCACGCGCCATCGCTCATGGGCCGGCCCATGTAGATGGTAAGCGTCAACCACATTTGATTTCCGTTGGGTTAGCTCATCGCATTTACCGTTCGCGATTGACCAGTTGACTAGTCAATCATTGACTTAAAAATCTTTTCTATGCAAAAAACAAAAATATCCATAAATTCAAAAATGTGCATGGATTTTGAAAAACCTGACGAATTCAAAAAAATTCATTGAATTTGAAATTTTTTCATGGAATTTTAAAAAAGTGCATCAAATTTGAAACTTCATCGAATTTAAAAAAAGTTCATGAATTTTAGAAAAGTCCATGAATTTGAATAAAAGTTCTCAGAATTTTTAGAAAAAAAATCATGAATTTGAAAGAAAAAAAATCATCGAACCAGGAAGAAGAAGAAAAGAAAAAGAAGAAGGAAGAAAGGATGGAAAAAGATGTAAGTAATCACTTTTAGTTAGGTGGCGGGTTTGTTGGTCTTCTATTTTGCGAATTCATGGCTAATCCCCCCGAGGTTATGAATAATACATGATAGCTCCACTCGTCATCCTTTTTTTTTGGGAAAAACACACATCCATGTCAATTTTTAAAGAAACCGCCAATTTCACAACCATGCAAAGTATGTAAACAAAAACAAAAAGCGCAGAGAGCAAATGAAAAGCAACATCTTATCCAGGGTAACATCACTCCCAGGCTTGCCCACATTAAAGTATACTAACATCATTACAACAAGCACATTAGGAACCCAAGTTCAAAGTAAGAGTTGAAATGTAATTGACAACAACACACCAAAGCCTTTTTGAATCTCACAATGGGGCCTCACGCAACCCATCATCCGCCACTCATGGTTGTGCTCTCATTTCTTCTCGGTGTGGTGCTTGCAACATCTTTTCCCTCTTTTTCTCGGTGTTTTATTTGGGTCCTTCGGTTGTCATAAGTTTCTATTACAAGCAAACATAACTAGATGTGATGGTGCAAAGTTTTTCGCATCATGTTTACACATAATGTTCTTTTTCACTTTCCAATAATGTGCCATGCCTATTTTGTGGCTTCCCTTTCAACAATTTCTAAAACTAAGAGTTAAGAAAAATTACATCTGCTTCCCTAATCAAACTCATGACTCACACGTGTCATGGACCTGTAGCACAATGTAGCTGGGGATTTAACGCTCACCGAGTCAGCTCTTTTAACAAACATATGAACTGTTACCTCGGCATGAAGAATTTTTTAACGTGGGAATTACAACATAGCACTGCTTTTTTGCTTAAAGAAAATAAATAAGTTTAC